CACACCAAGGTCATATCATGTATTGGGTTTGCTTCTTATTGGGGAGCTTGAGTTATACATTGGTATGTCTCCCTGCTGTGGGTCACACAATGGACATATCTTTCTTCTAATGGTGTGTGCATGGTGGGGGGAGAGAGCTAGAGGGCAAAGAGGGGAGGACAAGTGAATCTAAATAATTTTCCAAAGTTAGCAAGTAATTGCAAGTAATTCCAGAACATAGGTGATGTTAGGTTGCTACTGTGATGGACATTGTACCAAGGTGACCTGAGGCTGGGAGCTGAGTTGATTCTCCTCAGGTCACTTAGGGTGTGGAAAGTAGGGACAGCATTTATTGAGATTTATTATGTAAACAGTAGCTTGCCGGTGGCTTCAGGTGAATATCCCATTTAATCCTTGCAGAACAACAACATGAGGTGGGTATAATCGTGTTAGCTTATGACTGAGGGGTATCCAGGGATCCCACACTGTTAAGGGGTGCATGCTCTAAAAGGGATCAGTCTATATGCATGCACAAGGCAAAGAAAGCATACTCCTAGTATGCTTTAAAATTTTTTTTCAAATATAATTGGTGTGTAGCAAGAGAGAGAAGAAAGGATATTCCTCATAAAACTCCAGAAATTACCCATCACCTCATGGGCAAATTCCCAAACAAGCTCAGCCTGAGAAAGACACTGTGGCTTGAAAGCTTCTTAGAAGTGCCTTCTGTCAAAGAACCACAAACAAGGGGTTAGGCAGAAGGAGACCTTGGGCTAGGACAGCAGGTGAGATTCAAAATTCAAAATATACACCATAATAATCCACCACGAGATTAAGATAATAGTTACCATTGTCTCTGCCAAGCACAGGAGCAGCCTCCCCATGTGTCACCCACATGTCTCTTCTCCAGAGACTCTCCAAGAGTCTCTGTGTGTCTCTCTTCCACATCTCTGCTCATCTCTGAATCTCCTCTGTGTCTCCCCTTTTTGCTTTACTCCCCTTCTCTTCATAATCCACCTTGCGATTTCCCATCTGCATCTCCCCCCGCCACCCCTACCTCACCCCCACCCCAGGAAGTCTTGTTCAGGGCATACTGGGATTTGTAACCCAACAGTCAAATGTGAGTGGGGACAGGGACAATGGTACCTGTCCAGTCCTCCTCCCACTTTTCATGGAGGTGTATCTGTAACAGTTATGCTTTCAGTTTATACCCCAAATGATTGAGGCATGGAGAACCCCTCTCCATGCATATTGCCATTGGACACAGGGAGAGAGTGGGTGGGCATTGCTGGGATTCCTGCCCTTTAGCTGGTACCCCACATTAAAGCCACTGGACAGTGTAGGGTTGTAGAGAGCACTGTGGGCCAAAGGAATCTTGGGGAGTCATGAAGAAGAATGGTTAAAAAACATGAGAACTGGAACCAGACCTGAATTCAAACCACTCCCACTTTTACTTTCTCTAATTGTTGATCCTAATTCATACCCCCAGGTTGGTTATGATCTCCTAGTGGTAAGAGCTTAAGTTCTCCTTTTCTTCCACAGGTTGGAAACAGACAGCCCAGAGCCCAGAACCCACTGAGCCGCAAGGAGCTGGAGAACTTTCGTATTTATTCCTAAGGGTGCAGCCCATCTCACTTCTTATGTGTCAGTGTCTGCGTTGGGAGTCTGCTTGGACATCACATGAGTCTCTACATGGTTCCCAGTCTCTAGAAGATTCCTAGTTTGGAGACGACATGGGTGTTCACTCGTGTTGTACTGTTGGTGTTGGCAATGATTTTTAACAGCCATTATAAGAACAAAGCTCTTAAACGGTGTCTCTCGCTTACAGACCAAACAAGAGTGGTGGAGAAATTGGGTATTTCATGAAAGACCACACAGTAAATCCAAGTGCTGGAACTTTATTAAGTGCTGTGTAAATGTAGCGGTTGGGGGTGGGGGGCGGTTTATTAGCACCAAGGTTCCCATCCCCCGGTTCTCTAATCTATTCTTGTGTCCTCTCCTCTTTCACCTGGAGTGACTCCATTTCTGGACCCTCCCCTTGCCCAGACCATCTTCCAAAAAGGAAGGAAAGATAAAGGTGACCCCAAGGGAGGGAAACTGCTCCCTCTGTGCTTGTGGATCCATTAGTTGTGTCTCCAGTGGGGCAAACATGGACTTTACAGGACCCCTCCCCTCCCCATGTTAAACTCATAACTTCTGGCCTGTTGGTCGCAAGGCAGAGTTAGCAGAAGTAAAAGTAGTTGCTGTGAAGCAGCCCCATCTCTGAGTGGAAAAGTCGCCGGGAGCCCAGGCCCTCCTGATCATAGGCCCAAGAGAGCAGTATTGTCTACAGATTCATGTTTAATTGACAACACAGCATTAGAGATCTGCTTTGACTTCTTCGAAAATTCTTCAAATTAGAAACGGCGTCTGAACCTGAGTCCTAGTGAGTTCTCCCCAGACACACACTGGAGGGTGGACTCAGGCCTCTGAGCACTTGGGAACTGAACCCCATGCTGGGCACCCACAGATCTCAGGCCAGCCCCTTCAGTAAGACTGTGAAGACCAAGCTGAGACTCTGGCTGAACCCAGGAAAGAGACACGGGTGAATGGAAGAGGCCCTACTCAGAGGGAACTGGTTCTTCAATGGCCCCGCCCTCTATTTAACTTGGAAATTAATATAAAGCTGTGGTTTTATTCAGAGTGTGTCTAATTTTTTTCCTGAATAAAATTTATGTCTTTTCCATAGTCTGTAATTTTCCCCTCTGTTACACCAAAGGGAATTTGGGGGCCACCAATAAACCCCTGCTGGAGGAGGTCTGGCCTGATGAGCTGTCAGTATCTCACACTGCAACAGCAGATTCCAGGCTTCCCAGACCCCAGGGTCATTTGGTCTAGTGTTGGGGGGCAGTGTGGATACTGCATGCACTTGCTTGTGCCCCACCCGATCCCTCTACCCCAGGGGCTGTGTGGTCAGGCAAACCTCCTGGGGACAAGTGTGGACAGACAACAGCCTGGGGAAAGCACCAAGAGTGAAAACCAGGGAAATACACGCACAGGGTCTCTGGGGGCCAGGGCACCTTCTGGGAGCTGAGCTGCAGAGCCAAGGAGTTTGGTGAGCAAAGGGAACAGGAAATGATGGGGGTTGGGAGAGCCCAGGCAAACAGAGAGCCACTGACCATTGGGTATTGCTGGCCTCTCATGTGTCCTGGGTTGTGCAGATCTTGAAGAGACCAGATCTTCGTAAGGAGCAGAGGAGATCTTAAAGGCCTCGGGCTTGGGGGTGGGGGGGCGGGCGGGATGGTCTATTCTGGAGTGGATTAAGGTAATTTTACAATGAGCACCAGTGAACAGGCAGTAATAAAGGTCCTGGTGGTTGTAGCATGGCCTGCCCCCTGGGGGTCCCTGCTGCAGGCCACAGAGACACACTGACCCAGGGCCCACTTGCAGGAGAGCATCAGAGCAGAACAACTTTAAAGGACATCAAAGGGCTGCAAGGCAGGGAAGGACAGGGTGGTCAGAGCAGTCCAGGGGAATGCTGGAGACACTGACCCATGCTGTGGCCTTTCACGTGGCGCTTGTCCTGGAACTTAAATACAGTGAATGTCATGAAGATCATCAGAGGCGGTGCAGGGACAGAGCTAAAGCTGCACTTTGAGGAAGAGGGGAGATACTATGGCCATTCTGCCTCCAGACTAGACGAGGAGGAGGGATGTTCTTTTGAGTGAATAGAGGAAATTCAAATGAAGGAGGCATTTGAAGCACTTTGAAAAATATATCAAGAGAGTAATACACATTTAAAGGATATCAAAAGAGTGATATGTACATGTGGTCAAAAGAATTCAGCAGTGCAAAAAAGTATGCAGTAGAACAAAGCAACCTTCTCAATTGAGAGTACCGCTCCTTCCCTAGAACTGACAACTTTTTTGTATTGTATTTCCATTCAGAACTTTTCTATCTACATAAGCTCTCAGATATACCTTTTTCCCTTTGTATATTTTATTTATTTATTTATTTTAAAGACTTATTTACTTATGCAAACAAGAGCTGGGGTACAGGCCAGAGGTGTGGGGGGTGAGAGGATTCACCAGAGACATAGTGGGGAAGAGAAGAGGTGGATCTACTGAAATCCACTGCTGAGGGGAGTAGTAGGTGAGACCTGAGAGGTCTGCAGCACCATGTGGGTAGCTCCCTGGACCAGCATCAAACTTGTGCTGCAGTGGTTGCAGACAGCTTCATAGGTTGCATCTTAACCCCTTGTGCCACCAGAGGTTCACTTGTATACAGTGTGATTTCTCCTCTGAGGTGTTGTGCCCATAAAATTGCCACCACCAAGACACCCGTGAACGGTCACCATGGACTCTTGCACTCTTTCCTCCTGTTTTGCTCTCTCCCCACCTCCCCTGCGAATGTCTCTGATTTACAGTTTGCCTGCTGGCTTTCTCTCTCTCTCTCTCTTTTTTTTTTCTGACCCCTTGTCTGGTTTCCCTATGTTCCTCCAATAAGTGAAATCACCTGATATTTTTCTTTTTCCTTCTGACTTATTAAACTGAGCATAATCCCTTCCAGCTCCACCTGTGTTGCTGCGAGTGGCATGAGTTTATCAGATATACATTTTAAAAAACCCACCTGGCAGTGAACAGTGCACACTGGCCTGCACTGTCTCTCCACCTTCCAGTGGAGTCCATCTCAGAGCCTCAGAGCCCATCTCCATGAGCACATGTCAGGCTTTCTGTCCTTCACAAAGGAGCAAGCATTCTGCTCTCATGTATTTAGCTGGATTCTCGCTAAATGGACATTTGGGTTATTTCTGGCCCTAAAAATTGCTGCAGAGCACATGATTTTACCAAGACCTCTGTCTTCACGTGGGGATTTTCTTGAGTGACTGTTTAGTAGATGGTGTGACGGCAGCTCCAACCAGGTGCTTTCAACCGTGTTGACTTGAGGTGCAGAGATAAGGAGGTGGGGGGTGCATCTGAGCTGAGAGAGGGGAGCTGTGTTGTGCAAGGAGTCAGTTGCAGAAACACATCTTAAAGTCCAGGGCCCTAAATGGAGCTGGTGTCTCGCTCTTCCATGGGCTGGGGAAAGTGCAGGGGGTGAGGAGAGGCTCAAATCCAAGCAGCTCTGAGACATGAAGGGAAATTCCTTAGTCCTGCCATCTGCAGGAAGCTCAGGCAATGATGGCAGGGAGGGAGACAGCACTGCGTTTCTTTTTAAGTGAAATTTTCATAGGTGGATATTTCAGAAGACTTTGGGCTATTCTGCAGTGGTGGCGCCAACTGTGAGCCAAGAGACACACCAGGATATTGTTAGTAAGACTGGAAGGCTCCGATTTCCTCTGTATGGCTGAGAGGAAGGGGAGGCCAGGCTAGCACAGCCCCAGCCTTAGATAGAAATAGGGCCCATGGCTGACTGAGGGACAGTGCATGCAGCAGGCAGTAATGGAGGATCTCCTAATAGTACGGGCCATGGGTTAGGCTCTGTAACAGAGACACAAGACAGTTGAGTGCAGAAAGTTGGGGGATTCAAAATGACCATTAAAGATGTTGCTCTTAAGAAGGTACTATCTCACGTCCCTAGTCTCTGTCCTAGCTGGAACAACGAGATAAGCATTTATATAAGATAATTTAGGAGGGAAAGTTTATGTTCCAGAGTAATGGTCTAGTCTGTCAGATCCATGTCCAAGAGTTCTGAGCATCTTGTGTCTGAGTTGCTCAGAGAAAGTTCTAGGGAGCAGACAGGCCCTGATAAGGTATCATCAATGCCTGGAGAGCAGCATAAGCCTTTGAGATGCCATGCAGTGATGGGTCAGAAAGCAATAAGTAAGGTAGGTTTGGGAATTTCTGATCAAGTAGGCAATAATGACTGAAGGAGATCCAACACCAGAATTCCTGGTCCTGAAAATTCTGAGGCAGAGGATGAATGCTGTCATGTGTGTGACTGAGGAGATGCATGGATTCCTACTTGCTCTGTGGGTGGGGGAGATCTAGGGTTCTTAAGTCCCTGGGTTGGGATGGAGCCATGCAGGTTGGCCTAGACTAGTGGTCTCTCATAACCTTTGAGATACAGAGCAGGGACTGATGTCTGTGACTTTTAAATTGACCTGTACTGACCCAACACCATGGGCTGGCCCAGAGGGGAAAGCAGTTTTGGGAGGACAGTAAAAAGGGCAGAGGTGGCCTCAATGATAAGGTGGAGTCCCTAAATGGCTAAGCTTTCCACCGTGCTCTAGAAATAAGGACCAGAGGCAGATGATGGTTCAGTGGAACCAAAATTCCATACAAGACAAGTGTTCACTGAACAAATTCTATCCATCTTTTAAGGTCCAATCCAATTACTTTTTCATGAAATCTTCCTGTCTACCTCAGGGCAGCAATATCTCCAGTCAGAATGAAACCTCCCACTTCCAATGTCTGAAAACCCATGAGGGCTAAACACATAGTTAAGTAGTCATGTAGAACATTTTCTACAGTCACTTAAACAAACCAGAATCCTCCTGGCACTCAATACAGTTCTGGACAAACAAAAGGTGTTCAATAAATGTCTATTGAGGATGGAGCTGGAAGGGATCATGCTCAGCGAAATAAGCCAGAAAAACAAAAGAAAAATACCGGATGGTCTCACTCATAGCAGGAATCTAGAAAACTTAAATAAGGGACCAGGAAAAAGAATAACTATAAGAAAGAAAATATCAAAATCAACAAATAATTATGAACAATAGACACTCTATGGGAGGGTGGGGGTTGGGGAAAGGAAGGATTGGGGTCAAAATAAGGGGGTTGTAATTGTATGGGGAATATAAAAATAAAATTTAAATTAAAAAAATAAATGTCTAATGATTGATTATCAGTCACAGAGAAGTAATGTAATTGAACAACTTTGAGTTTTTTTAAAAACATTTTTTTCATTTCCAACAAGCTCCTGAATGAGCCCACGTTGCTGGTTGGCCAACCACACATTGAGTGGCAGCTTCCATCTGGCTTAGGGACCCAGAGCCTGCGTCATTGGTGACTTTACCTGGTGGGACAGCTGAAGCCCTCCCTTGGCTGAGGGCGGAGACTGAGGCTGAACCTGAAAACCAAGCAAGAGAAGGTTTATCAGTAGACCAAGGTAGAGAGAGGTTTCTGATTGAGTGAGAGTCAAAGGAGAAGGGGAGATTTCCAGGAAGTGGGCAGGACAAAGCCTTTAGGGAAGGGTGAACCCCGATGTGGCACATGCTGTGGGAGAAGGTGACCAGAGTCTGGGGCCATCTTCAGCTGGGGGAGCACTCTGGAGAGGTTTGCTGACTTCCAGAGCTTCTTCCAGCACCCCAGCACGTGCTCTAACCCACCTGCTCTTGCCAGGCCCTCTTCCCTTTACCATTCTGAGATTCTGAGGGAGCTGCCCATCAAAACAGCTCACCCACTTGGCCACAATGACTGGTCCAAGCAATGGTCACATGACCCATAGCTGCACCAATCGGAGATATTGCTGAGATTGTTTAAATTGGAATTGGAGGGAAATATTTTTTTTCTGTTCCTGTTGTTGATGCTACTGGCAAGCGTGAGAGTGGAGCTACCAGCTGCTGTGCTGTCACGCTCCATGCCCCTGGCCCTGCCCCTCTCCTGGTGGCTCAAAGGAACAAGCAGGGATGAGAAATGCGTGCTCTGGCCACATTTGTCTCTAATGCCATCTCCTACCCTACCTTCCCCAAAGATTGGTTATATGAGTCCCAAGTAACACATCACTTCCTGTGTACCCCTATCCTAGTTTTACCTAAGCTAGTTTGAGCTGCATTTCAACCATCTGCAGCAGAGTCCCAAACCACACCCTCCCCACATCACTTGAGAAGAGATGAGAGCTTGGGAAAGAAAGGATGGGAAGGGAGGAGGAGAGGACAGAGAAGTCATCAAAGGCCCCAGAGAAGTAGCCCAGTGCTGACAGATGCTATTGATCTCAGAAACCCACACTTTATCTTTGCCTCCAAGTGCACCATCCAAGTATCCCAAAGCAGACAAGGATGGAAACCATCACGGAGAGAACAATCAAACGTTCCCTGCTTGTCCCAGGTGCTGTGAAGAGGAAATGAGTGGTGTTAACATCCATAATGATAAGGGTCACTGGTGCAAATAATGGACAAAACATAATGGCCTTCCTCCCTGCCTCCCAGGCTATTGTAGAAAATATTTCCTTTCATTCACTTATTCTGCAACCCTTATGGGCCAGGTCTTGTTCTCGGCAGGAAGATATAACATAGGGACTCCCTGGTGGCGCGAGGGGTTAAGCACCACACTATGAAGCAATCTGCAGCCTCTGCAGCACCAGTTTGATCCTCGCCCCTCCATGTATTTCAGTCAGTCTGCCTGTTCTGTTACCTGCTCTGTCTCTGGTGAATCCTCTCACCCCCCCGCACCTCTGACCTGTACTCCAGCTCTTGTGTGCATAAATAAATAAATCTTTTTTTTTTTTTTTTTTTTTATAGAGGCATGCTTTATTTATTTGTTTTCTGGTTTGTTTGTTTTGTTTATACATGCACTGGGTACAGTCAGAAGTGCGGGAGGGTGAGAGAATTCACCAGAGCCAGAGCGGGGAGCAGAGCAGGCAGAAGGACCGAAGTACACTGCTGAGGGGAGCAGCGGGCGGCAGGAGAGGTCCGCGCGCCATGTGGGACCCTCCTCTGGTGGCCGGGGAGCAGCCGGGGATCGAACCGGCGCCGCAGAGGCCGCGCGCAGCTTCGCAACCCAGAGCTCAACCGCTGCGCCACCGGGGAGGCCCCTAAATAAATCTTTAAAAAAAAGTTATAGCAGAACATCAGGTAGACACCAACCCTGGGTAGAGAGGTTCATGGCTTGCTCAGCATCACAGTTTTAAGTGCATGAGCTGGGATTTTAATGCAGGCTGCCTGGTCCGGAAATGCCTTATCCATCACCCTACACTCCTCTCTGCAAATGGTACCAGGGGAATTCTGGGCTCCAGAGAGAAAGACTACAGGTTTCTACTAAACACAGTTCTAAAGCCACCTGCCAGCCACAGCCTGACCTAGCATTGCCACATCCTGGGCAGACCTTCCTATTTCTCTTCTTCCTCCCCAAGATGAGCAGAGCACAGGGTTCCCACCTGTTTTTGTTGTATGACTTTGGGCAAGTCCCTTCTCCTTTTTGAGTATGTTTCATTGTCCTCATATTAAGAATCTGCAGCACAGAATTTTTTTTTTAAGATTTATTTTTAATTTATACAATAGCTGTGGTATTTATACAATAGCTGTGGTCAACAGGAGAGGTTGACCATGTCACGTGGCTTTCTCCCTGGCTGGATGGGAATCGAATTTGTGCTGCACAGGCTGCGGACAGCTTCACAGAGCTGCGCTCAACCCGCTGCTCCACTGGGGAGGCCCCACAGAGAGTTATTGTAAAGATGGATTGTATCACGATTGCATTCTTGCATTCAGCCTGGCATTTGGTAAGAGCTCCCAGCCCTCCTTTCTAGCCACTAGCCACGCACACAGCCTGCATTCCTGTGGCTGCTCCCCTTCCTATGTCATCTTCTCATCCACTCTGCTCCCCAAACCTCTAACGCAGCACTGCCCAATACCATAGCCAAGACTCATGGTATGAGACTCTGAAATGTGGAACGAAATTACTTCATTAAAAACTTTTTAGGGTCTCCCCTGGTGGTGCAGCAGTTGAGCGCTGGGCTAAGAAGCTGCCCGCAGCCTCTGCAGCGCTGGTTCGATCCCGGCCACCAGTGAGCGTCCCATATGGCACGCAGACCTCTCCTGCCGAGCCTGCTGCTCCTCTCAGCAGTGTATTTCGTCGGTCTGCCTGTTCTGTTCCCCCCTCTGTCTCTCGTGAATTCTCTCACCCTCCCGCGCTTCTGACTGTACCCAGTGCTTTGTATAAATAAATAAGTAAATCTTTAATTTTTTTTTTTAATTTTAAAATGGTTACTCAAATCCTCATTGAAAGATTGATAAATATGTTTGGAATGACTTGGATACGTAAATCTATTTTTCACTTGTAAATTTTATAAAATCTGAATAGAGATCCAGCACTTCCCATGAACATTTTGCATCTGTTGTCAGTGTGAAATACATACTGGGTTTTAAAGACAGTGCAAAATAAAATATACACTATTTCATCAATAATATTTTTTGCATTGGATGCATGTCAAAATGATGATATTTTGGGTTAAATAAAATATATTATTAAAACTAATTTCACTTTTTTTTGTTTTTGATTTTACTCCTGGGACCAAGAGAGGTTAAGTGAAGTGTGTGCACTCCACTGTGTTCGATTGGAAGGTGCTGCCTTAAAGGATGCCACCCACATTCCTTCCCTCAATCACATAAAGAACCACTCAGAATGCAAACCCACGGATCCAAGGCCCTGCGGCCCCAAGGCCCGACTGAGCAGAGAAAGATAGTGACCTGGACAGATGTCCCCAGAAATAAACATCTGGGAGCTGTTGCTGACAGGGTTGCTGGCCATGCAGTTGAAGATGGGATGATTTTTCCCCAAGCCTCCAGGAAGCCTGGAAGTTCGATCCCTCGTGGACAGTTCCTTTCTGCAGAGACGAGGTCCAGCGGTATTTCACATTGGGTGCATTGTCCTCCACTGAGCACGCCAGCTGGACCGTGCAGGAGCCATTCTCTGTGATTGTCTGGTTATGGGTGACTTTTGGCTTCCTCAGCCTCCCTGTGCGAGGAGAAAGGCAGAGCTGTTCAGAGCCACATCCATGGGCGGTCACCACACCTTCACTCACTCTAAGTAGATATAAGAGCTTGTGCATTGACACTGCACCAGGGCTGGGAAAGCGCCTCTGGGAGCCACGGGCATTTTGGAAGGCACCTACCTTTCCCTCGTAGCTATGAAATCTCAGACATACCACATCACCTTCTTTGGGCCTTTGATGCTCAGATGTGAAATAAAGGGATTAATGAAATGAGACAAAAAGAAAGATACCATGCTATTCGTAGAGCCTTTGCAAAGAACCAGCAAATTGGTAACACCAATAAGCATAACTCTTGCACGTGCTTGGAGGGCCCTACAAGGCTCACGCTTTGAGCATGATCCATCATCCACCTAGTTATTGACATGAGATAAGGAGGATGGAGAGATGGGCACAGTGCTGATGCAGGGGCAGCGCTCAATAAATGCGGGCAATTTCATATTTGCGTCACAGTGTGCAAGACATGTGGACAGGCTGAACAACTGCCTATTTTGACAGGACCAATTATGGTGAAAATTTTCGTAGGTTCTTAGATCCTTCCACATCTCTTTCCCCAAACCCGAGGGAAGTCAGTTTATTGTTTCTCAATGCATAGATGAAGGAACTGGTTCACATAAACCATGCAAACCATCAAGATGAGCTTCGGTGGAGCTGGGACTGGGGAGGAATAACGTGACTTCTGTCCTTCACAGTCGGGGGAGCTGAGCAGCCCTCCCTCTTGGAAGGTCACAGGGTCTTTAGACACTGAAGTCTTTTATCTCTGATTCTACCCTAGCCAGCTCTACCCTTATTCCAAATGGTAACGCCTATAAAATGCAGGTTGGTGAGTTATTGTTGCCACCTGATCCCAGCGCAGGACGGGAGGAAGTAGTGGAAGCTGGTCACTGAAGCCTAACTGGAAACCCACAGAAGAGGGCATTGGAAGGCAGGTTTTGCCAGGATGCTGGTGGTAATTTTTCTTCCTGTGAATTGGTGGTTGTGAACAGAATAGCAGTCCTAGCAGTCTGAGGCATTTTGGTAGGAGGAGAGGCCTGAGGCAAGAGGCGGGTGGGGAAGAAATCAGATGAGAACCTTTCAGGGATTATCTAGTGCTGGGTGCCCTGTTCAGAACTCACCATAGACGAGCAGGGTGACATGCTTTGTACTGGTGACTCTGGAGTCCTTTGAGCACACGTAGGCGTGATAGTGGCCGGCATCCTCCATCCTCAGTTGCTTAATCTCGAGGGAGTGATCCTGGTCGGAGACACTTACCTCATTCTTGTCAGGAACCTTGGACTGAGTGTCGGGGTCGACTGTGGCTATTTCTCCCCATGTGCTGATAACAGACGTGTTAAAAATCCAGAGAACTCTCTTTATGTCCTGACTGGCTGGGAGTGATAGGGGCAGGATGATGGACTCCCCCAGGAGTCCCACTGTCTCCTCCACTGGTCCTCCTACATCTGCAGTCAGAGGTAAGACAGTGTCACTCCAGTCACTGGCACTGTCCCTTCACCCTCAGTCTACCTGAAGGGGATGGGAGCCCCATGGCGCCTCCTGCCCAGACCCTACTTCCCTTCCATGAGGCAGCCCTGCTGGTCTCCCTTGACCACAGGTCATGAAGAGGTATGAACCTAGATCTGCCTGGGGTACACCTAGGCCTCGTCTGCCCTCTTGATCTTTTGAGAAGACTGCAGGGGACATTCCCCATCAAGAGAAGAACAATTTGGATCTCTTCAACCATACCCTTCTCCCCTGCCTTGTTGTACCCAGAGTTTCACAGTGCCTGGGGAATTCCCAAGTCTCCTGGTAGTCTCTTGCAGGCTCCTGAGGATAGAGAAGGAGGGAGTTGTTCTCACCCCACCCTATCTGTGTCCTGCCAGAACTTTGAGGGTTAGACTGTGTCTGTAATCCCCTGAAGGGCCAAAGTAGAGTCAGCTACCTGTACAGAACTGCCGGGCAAAGACAGGGTCGGAGCTTCTCTTGCTGACTGGGTTCCGGACTGTGCAGGTATAGGACCTGTGCTGGTCTTGGCCACAGGGTACCCAGGAGATGGTGAGAGTGGAACTCATGGAGGATTCAGAATCATGGGGGCCCACAGGGGTCCAGCTGTAGTCAATGTCTTTCCCTTCCCCTTGCACAAAGCAGATCAAAGTGATGGTACATGAGGCATCCTCAGACACAGCCACAGACTTCAGGGTTACTAGGGGCGCCCGTAGCAGCTCTGTAGAGAAAAATATCAATGGGAAGACTTCTAAGAGCCTGTCCCAACAGGGAAAGACCCAGAGAAGGTGGAAATAGCACCTGGGAGCAGGAGGGAGAAGTCAGCATCACCTGTTCCAGGGGGCGTTGGCTATTAGTCCCATGCAGACGAGGTGCCTCCATTTCTGGAGGCGAGAACTGTTATGAATTTCTTATTGATCTTTCCAGAGATTAGACACACATGATATCACATACACTGTCCTGTGTATCATTATATATATTGCTATTTCTATTAGCTGTCTAGAATTCCATTTCCTTAGTGTATATAGGCACCTACTAATCAATAAAAAAATGTCAAGCTACCTGATAGGGAGATGGTGTTGAGGGCTGAATAATGTCCTCTTCAAAGTTCATGTGTTTAGTCCTAATCCCCCAAACTTCAGAATGTTAATACATTTAGAGACAAAACTATAGAGATAGAAGTAATTAAGTTAAAATGGGATTATTTGGGTGGTCCCTAATCCATCAAGACTGGTGTCCTTATGTCCTGATAAGAAGAGGAATTTAGCAAAACAAAGAGACAAGCCACTGATTGTGAGTAAATTTTTGCACACAATACAAATGATAAGGGACTGATCACAAAGATCTACAAAGAACTGAGACTCAACAAAAACAAAGTAAACAATCCAATCAAAAAATGTGCAGAGGGGCGAAAAAGACAATTTTCTAAAGAGAAAATGCAACTGGACAACAGGCATATGAAGAAATGTTCACTATCACTCGTAATCAGGGAAATGCAAATCAAAACCACAATGAGATACCATCTCACACCCCTGAGAATTGTACATATTAAAATAACTAGCTACAACAATTGTTGGCGAGGAACTCTCCTACACTGCTGTTGGGAGTGCAAACTGGTCCAACCACTATGGAAAGCTGTCTGGAGATTCCTCAAACTGCTAAAAAAGGAGCTTCCATATAATCCAGCAATTCCACTTGTAGGGATCTAGTCAAAGGGCAGAAAAACATTAATTCAAAAGGGCACCTGCACCTCTATGTTTATAGCAGCACTGTTTACAATAGGTAAGGTATGGAAACAACCCAAATGCCCAAAAATAGATGACTGGATCAAGACAATGTGGTACATATACACAATGGAATATGACTCAGCAATCAAAAACGATAAACTCATGCCATTAGCAGCAACATGGATGGAGCTGGAAGGGATCATGCGCAGTGAAATTGTTAGGGGGAAAGGATGTCCTGAGATAATCTCATACAGGCTTTGTGGACTCCACCCCCACTCCAGACTAAAGCCATCAGGACATTGGGAAAGACAAATCCCATCACCACCAAGGGGAGGGTGGCTGGGACCTGAGGGTGGAGTTGGGCAGCCAGGTTGGATATAAAAACCAAACACGTGGGCCTTGCTCTCTCTCTGGCTCGCGATCGCTCGCCTCCTGGCTTCACCGCTCCTGGCTGGCGGCCAACTGAGAGCGCCATTTTGGGATTCCTGATCGGCGGATCGGGTAGGACGCATTTAAAACTTTGTCTCCCACTTTTCTCCCAGAGCTGTACATTTCCTCATTTCCCTTTCCGTTGTAAATAAACCTTTTATTAACCTTTCACGTGTGCCTGCAGTAGAGCATTGATAAGTCCTTTTAAGCGCGCGGGTGAGGACCCACAGTCAGGCACCCCGTTTTGTATCGGGGTTGCTCTACAACAAAATAAGCCAGAAAGAAAAAGAAAAATACCTGATGCCTTTACTTTCAGGAGGAATGTGAAGGATCCAAATAAGGGATCAGGAAAAAAAATTATAAAAAGTCAAAATTAAAATCAACCGGCAACACTAAACCAGAGACATTCTGCAGGGGAGAGGAGGGAGTAGCATCAAAACAGGGGTGGGAAGAACACAAGGGAATATAGTGATGTTACACTGGTGATGGGTGGTGGGAATTCCCCGGGGACTATACCTGATGAGAAAGCAGACACTGTACAAAATGAAGAATGATGTAAAAAAAAAATAAAACAAAACAAAACAAACAAACAAACAAAATCAAGAAAAGAGGCAAAAAAAAAAAAAAAAAGAAAAGGAAGTTAGGACACAGCACAGAGGGCCCACTGAACAAGGACATAATGAGGAGGTGGCTATCTGCAAGTCAGGGAGAGAAGCCTCTGAAGGAACCAAACCTGATGACATTTTGATCTTGGACTCCTAGCCTCTAGAACAGTGAGAAAATTAATTTCTGATTGTTTTTTGTTATTTTAAAACTGAGGTGTAGGTCAGAGGTGCAGGGAGTGAGCGGTTTCACCAGAGACAGAGTCGGAAGAAGAATGGGTGGATTCACTGAAATTCACTGCTGAGGGGAGCAGTGGGTGAGACAGGAGAGGTCTGCTCTGCCATGTGGGTAGCTCCCTGGCTGGGGATCCAACTCAGGTGGTAGTGGTGATAATATTGCTGAGACTTAATCCCTAGGCCACCAGGGAGGCACAGTTTCTGTTTTTTAAGTCACCCATCTGTGGTAATCCCAACAGACTAATTGTGATGGGTCAAGTATATCTACAGAGAGTTGTTGAAAAGAATACAAATGATTCAATTGCATTGGTTTATGCTTTCCACTTAACTTCTGTATATTATGGTGTTGGGTAAAAATTACCAAAGTGCTAATCCTATTATCCTAGAGAGAAAGATTCCTGGAGAGAAAAAAAATTCACAGCAGAACTCACCGTAGATACCTAGGGTAAATTCTTCATAAGTGGTGACTGTAGAATCATCTCGGTTGATCTGGGCTTCGTAGGATCCTGCATCTTTCAGGGTCAGGTTGTAGAGAGACAAGGAATAGCCAGGGCGGAGGATCTTTATTCGGCCCTTGTAGCTTTTGTCCATGAGGTTAACATCTCCTTTTGATGCCAAACAAAGACTACCATGAGGACCATTCCAGACGACATTCTCAATCTGTGTGTCCACCGAGATGTTGAGGCGGAAAGTTGCCGAACCCCCTGGCGTTCCTGCCACTCTCTGTCTTTGAGCTGAGTCCTCTCCAGAGGCTCCAGGTCCTGCAGATACAGAAGAGAGATGGAAAAGCAGCCGGACTCTTTTTTTTTTTTTTTAAATTTTTTTTTTTTATAGAGGCATGTTTTATTTATTTGTTTGTTTTTTTATACATGCACTGGGTACAGTCAGAAGTGCGGGAGGGTGAGAGAATTCACCAGAGCCAGAGCAGGGAGCAGAGCAGGCAGACTGATGAAGCACACTGCTGAGGGGAGCAGCGGGCGGCAGGAGAGGTCTGTGCGCCATGCGAGACCTTCCTCCGGTGGCCTGGAAGCAGCTGGGGATCGAACCGGCGCCGCAGAGACCGCGGGCAGCTTCGCAACCCAGCGCTCAACCGCTGCGCCAACGGGGAGGCCCAGCAGCCGCACTCTTCATGACAGCCTTCAGTCGCTCATTTGTCCATTCAATAGATGTGTATTGAGAATGTCAGATGCTGAGAAATGAAATGAGATCCCGCCCTCCTGTCTTGAGGTCTCTTGCCTAACAAAGTCATTCATTCATTCACTCATTCATTCACTTACAAAACCCTCTCCCACAAATAGCAATGATCAAATAAAATAGACCTTCTAGGTTTCTGTTAGGGGGGAATTAGTAACTCTGGGTGAATTTTTGAATTTCTCTAAGCATCAGTTTTGAAGGACGAGCCTGAGCGAGATGTGCAGAACAGACCTCTCAACATGTGTCACTTTGGCAGGTGGATTATTTTGAGTTGAGCTCAATTGAGACTCTGAAGTCTCACAAGAAACTTTTACCACTTCCTTACCTATATAGAAGAAGGAAAATTGGGGTTATTAACCCAGATTAGGTTGCTTTATTTTTGAACCAGAAACACATCTTCTGACAAGGAAATCTCTCTCTATGGCTGAGCAAACATCTAATTACATTTAATCTTATCCTATGATTATATCTTATCTTTGTCATATGACTCGCCTCTCATCATGTGAGTCTTCTGCTCTCTCCTTAAAGCTCTAGGTCCTGACCCTATTCCTTGGCACAAGATATACATGCCCATTTTCATATGTGCATTCCCCAAATATACATAATTAAATTTGTTCATTTCTCCTACTAATCTGCCTGATGTTAATTTGGTTGTTTGTGCAGCTTGAGAAGAACCTAGTGGAGTGGGAGAAATTTCTTCTCCATTCCTACAGTTTACTCGTCAATAAGAAGGAAATCTTCACACTTGTGTCATCTTCCCCAAGGGATATGGCAAAGATGAAATGAAAACAGGTTCTGTGAATCATCAGCAACAAATAGAGCAAAAAGGAGCATCTTTTAAAAATAAGAGGGACTGGTGGATGGCTAGAGAGGTGGAGAGTTGTGCAGTAAGGCAAATAAAAGAAAACATTGAGGGTAGAGCCCAATGGAGGTATCTGAGTACCCATGGCAAAATTCCTTCAAGTTTTCTGAATGTTTGAGAATTTAATAGTTCAATTTAATAGTTCAATTTATCTCATTTCCTTATAAGGACTCCAAGCGTCTGCTGGGTGGCTCCAGCCTGGATCCCCAGATTCTTGGGCACGTGAGGTCCTAGAGAAGTTCTGAAAATCCTAGACCAAATCAGATGGGTTCAAGACCTGACTACTCTAGGAATTCTGGGTGGAAAAATAAGTACAGAATGTTTGGGAGAGGAGAGAAGTCAAATTACAGCTTGGGAGATGCAGCCAGACTTGGGAGCATTCAAAGCCCAGATCCAGCCCTTGCAGAGAGTGAGGAGGCTTCTGATTGGTGCACACTAGGGCTTCTGTGTACACACCCCCATTAGCTAAGCACTTGGGCCTTGGGGGGAGCAGTTAGGAGGGACACAGGGCTGGACACCCTGGATATGAGAAGGTCGGTTCAGATGGACTCTGGGGGCAGATTCAGAAGGCACACGCTGAGTTGGCACAGCGTTGGTCCGGGGCGGCCAGAAAGGAGCTCTTCCCACCCGGGAGACATCTTACAACTGCTATGTGCATCATTAGGCACTTGGTAGAAATCACCTCATTCAATCAAAATTATCCAATAATTAGCCATTTTACAGAGGGGAAGGTGAAATGTACAGTTTGAACCACTTGACTGGGATGACAGGTTGGTCAGTTGTCGGGCCCAGATTCCATGTGCTTGATGCCCCACAGAGTGGACAATGTCTCATGTTCTGGACACCCAGAGGTTCAGAGTCCTGCCTGGGTGCATCTGTTTTTTGACCTCATCTCTCCTCGCATCAGAGTAAATAAAGTGCTTGACACTCACAGAATGCCAGTAGGAGAGCAGGCTATGGTTTTGATGGGGAGGATCCTGTTGCAGTGGATGGTGCTACCCAGCTCCCAGTGTAGACAGGAGGCCAGGTATCATCCATCTCACACCAAACTATGCCCTCTGACAAGTAATCAAAGGAGCTGAAAGATTGTGTTAACTGAATTTGACTTGCCCATCCATTAATGGTTGCTAAATAATATTCTTAACTGTGATTATATTAACTATCATGGCCCCATCGACTGGGTGCAAGCACTTTATAGGCATCATCTTGAATCTAGAACAATCTTGCTCACTGCATTCCACAGTTAAGGAATAGAGGCTCACAGAGCTAGTAAATGAATGAACCAGGACTTAACTCAAACGTTCCTGATATCACAGCAGGGGGACTTTCTGCCACTGTCTCCTGTGTTCCTGAAACAATTCCTTAGAGCCACAAAAGCATCAAAGAAACTCCCTTCTAGCCCTACACAGTGAGGCTGAGGTCACCTTGCTCAGGGGAGCCAGCTAGGGAAACAGCTTTACCTTGAACTATTTGAAATTCACTGTCACTCCTCTGGGGCTAGGCTGACAATGGATGAAGTTAACTCAGATTCAGCTAACAAAAGGAAGAAACACCCCCAAAGTCTTCTTTTTTGTTTTTTTTTTTTTAAGATTTATTTATTTATGCACACAAGAACTGGGGTGCAGATCAAAAATGCAAGGGTGAGAGGATTCACCAGAGACAGAGTAGGGAGAACAGGCAGATTGACTGAAATATACTGTTGAGGGGAGCAGCGGGCCAGTCAGAAGGCTGCGTCACATAGGTCACCTCCTCGTCCAGGAACAGAACTTGTGCTGCAGTGGCTGTGGATAGCCTCATAGTGCTGAGACTCAACCCCTTGCGCCACCAGGGAGGCCTCTGCTTCTTATATTTCTTTAGTGAGCAAAGATGAAATTGAAGTGACTGGAACTAGGCCCTGAGGTTTCTCTTCCACATTCCAGAAGCTTTTCTAGAAATCACCCCACTGCACCCCACTCTGGCCCACCCCACCTGCTCTCAGGACCCTTGTGCTACCTGTTTCTTCTACCCAGAGGCCTTGTGGAAAGAAGCTGCCAGTCCCACAGAAGGATTTCCCGAATCTTTCTGTGGAAACACATTGTACAAGGAGCAAAGTCACCACTTGACATTTATTAGCAGGAGAACATGAGTTAAGAGGAACAGTCTAAGCCCAGCTGTTTGAGGGCCTCCCCTGGTGGCGCAGCGGTTGAGTGCTGGGCTGCTAAGCTGCCCGCAGCCTCTGCAGTGCCGGTTCGATCCCCAGCTGCCGGTGAGGGTCCCACATGGCGCGATAGACCTCTCCTGCCATGCCTGCTGCTCCCCTCAGCTGTGTATTTCAGTCAGTCTGTCTGTTCTGTTCCCTGCTCTGGCTCTGGTGAATTCTCTCATCCTTTTGCGCTTCTGACTTACCCAGTGCATGTATAAATAAATAAATAAATAAATCTTTAAAAAAAAAAAAAAAAGCCCAGCTATTTGACCGGGCTACAATGTTACCTGTTCACACTGTGTGTCCACAAGTGCACACACACACACACAGAGCTCAGGATAAAGAGGAACCATAGTAATAATTACTGCAAAGAGACAAGTTACCAGCAGCGAATGTGAGCAGCACCAGAGAACACTGCAGTAAGGGGACATGATCAGTGTGGACTTACCCATGAACAGGAGGAGGACAGGGGTCCACAGGAAGGGGGAGAAGATGTGTGGCTGACCCGTCCGTGGCTTGAATGGCCACACGGTCCAGGCTTCTGTGTGTCTTCTTGGCCCCATTGCGATGATGTACTTTCAGATCAGCCTGAAGGAGGAAGTACTTACACTGTGTGTGTTTGTGTGTGTGTATGTGCACATGTGCGCACACATGTGTGTCTGCATCTGTTGCTGGCACCACACACTCCTCTTACGTGCTCACTTGTGTTGGAAATCACAGTTCTCAAGTTTATCCAGAGCCTTCATGGGATTTGCAGACTGATCTTGGTGACCGCTGGCTTCAGCATCAGGCGTCTTGGTTTCTAAATGAGTCCCTAAAAATGGTCCCTAGAGAGCTCTACTTCCTGGTACTCGTGTTCCTGTGTCATCACCTCTTCTTGGCTGGGGGGTGGTTTTAGTGACCTCCAATGCAGCAGGAGAGATGTGATGTGAGTAGAACGTGGCAGGAGGGATGAGATTCGCTTAGGAAGGCTGAGAATTTCACCTCGGGCTCTCTCTGCCTCTCCATCTCCTCGTCTTTCTGTCTGTCTCTCATCTCCATTTTATAGAAGGGGGAATTGAAGTTAAGTAGCTTCTGTCGAGTTTATAGTGACAGAGGATGTGAACGCAGGAAGTCTGGGAGGGGACATGGGCTGTGTGCACAGGGAGACTTTTCAGAGGCTGGTCTTGATCTGAAGTCACGGGACCCTGAGAGCGAGTCCTCTGTGTGTGCTGGGAGCAGGCCGTCTAGAGGGAACTGCGGGACGTGTGGTCAGGAGAGGTTGGCACAGCCCAGACAAAGGGCCTCGTCACCCGGCTGCCATGGACTGAATACTTGTGTCCTCCCCTGGAATGTCCTTTGAGGTTGTGACCATAGATGAACACAGATTCAACTTAAATCCATTAAGCGCAGTAAGAACTTGGAATGACATGAGTTTGAGGTGATGCACTTGGCACAAACACACACACACATTCCTAGGGAGACAGTTCAGGGAAAATTGCCCGTGGGTGGAGAGTTGATAGAGAGAGAGGGTGCCTTGGGCTGGGTGTGGGGCAGCCTTACCCAGGAAAAAGCCAAGGAGGAGCAAGGACCAGGGTAGAGAAGTGCCCATTGCTGTCACCGACACCGGCCTGCCTCACAGCGCATGTGTGATATCCAGACGCTTCCTGTTTTAATAGTCACCACTTGAATCACTTGTTATTCCAAGCCACAAGGCATGAACATTAAGGGACATAAGAAAGAAAAGAGTGAGGGGCAGCAGAGTGAGTTACTTCAAAACCAAAACTCACCTGTCACAGCATTGCTTTCAACGCTGGGAGCTCCCCACCCTTATCGGTAATGGTCAGGGTGGCAGTCCGGATGGATGAGATCCTTTGGGCTCTGCTACATCCTGCCAACCTTTTAACTTCATTTTCCATCTGTAGGTTTCACACCTGGGATTTCATTCACGGCAGACCACATCTGGAGTCTCCCCATACACCCCATAGTATATATCTGAATTGCTCTCATCCCTACCTCACCTGACATCCTCCCATCCCCTGAAGTCATCGCCACCCTAGGAAAGGTTCCCCAAACCCCAGACTGGGACAGGTGCCTGCTCTGGTGTCTTGAACCCGGTAATCCCTCTGAGTCCTAACACTCTCCCAGCACTCCTGTCCCTCAAGGGCACAGTCTTCCTTTCCCCCCCTCCAGTTCCTAGTGCAATGACAGCACATGGTAGGGCCTGGTTTCTGTGTAGTTGTGAGTGTGTGGGGGGGACTCAGTCACAGGCAGAGAAGATTAAGCCCAGACTGACCCAAGGACAAAAGAATCAAAGGCAGGAACTGTTGGCTGCAGCTCATTTAGCAGAGAAACGGGGCTGGAAGAACCAGGGGCAAGGCCTTTGGGAGCAACTCTCCCTCCAGACACGAAGGACTAGGTCACGTTTTGCGATCTGGCTCTGTTGGTGATGTGGGTGCCTGAATTGTGTGGAAAGCGCCTGAACCATGAGCGGATGGAGGAGAGTCAAACTGGACAGGCCTGAGCTCCCTTAACCACCCACCTCCCCAAACCACACAGCCCCGATGGCCTTGCTGAGACGTGCGGACCACTGGCACCTCCATGAAGCTGTTACCATGACCAGTGCTTCCTGTAGGCCCCCTTCCAGCTCCCACTTTGACAGACATCTCCCTGCACTGCCCAGGTCTTCAATGTGGGTTTCTTTCCTCTCACTGAATCCACAACAGGATTCAAGCAGGAATTTCTACACGCACCCCACTTCTCCTAACCATGGGCTCCACAGCTTTACTTTGCTTTGTTCCTCAGAATTAATCCCCTCCCTGGCCAGTTGGTCGTGAGGAAGAGTTGGCAGAAGTAAAAGTAGTTGCTGTAAAGCAGCCCCATCTCTGAGTGGAAAAGTCACCTGGAGTCCAGGCCCTCCTTATCATAGGCCCAAGAGAGCAGTATTGTCTACAGACTGATGTTTAATTGACAACACAGCATTAGCGATCTGCGTTGGCTTCTTTGAAAATTCTTCAAATTAGAAACTGCGTCTGAACCTGAGTCCTAGTGAGTTCTCCCCAGACACACACTGGAGGGCGGGCTCTGGCCTCTGAGCACTTGGGACCTGAACCCCATGCTGGGCACCCACAGATCTCAGGCCAGACCCTTCAGAAAGGCTGTGATGACCAAGCTGAGACTCTGGCTGAACCCAAGAACGAGACATGGGTGAATGGAAGAGGCCCTACTCAGAGGAAACTGGTTCTTCCATGGCCCCACCCTCTATTTAACTTGGAAATTAATATAAAGCTGTGGTTTTATTCAGAGTGTGTCTAATTTTTTTCCTGAATAAAATTTGTCTTTTCCGTAGTGTGTAATTATCCTCTCTATAACAGCCAAATGGTATTTGGGGAACACCAATAAACCCCTGCTGAAGGGGGTCTGGCCTGATGAGCTGTCAGTATCTCACACTGGAACAGCAGATTCCAGGCTCCTCAGACCCCAGGGCATTTAGTCTAGTGTTGGGGGCGGTGTGGCTACTGCATGAACTTCCTTGTGTCTCACCTGATCCCTGTACCCCAGGGGCTGTGTGGTCAGGCAAACCTCCTCCTGGGGACAAGTGTGGACACCACAGCCTGGGGAAAGCACCAAGAGTGAAAACCAGGGAAATACATGCACAGGGACCCTGGGGGCCGGGGCACCTACTGGCAGCTGAGTTGCAGAGCCAAGGAGTTTGGTGAGCAAAGGGAACAGGAAATGATGGGGTTTGGGAGATCCCAGGCAAACAGAGAGCCACTGACCATTGAGTGTTGCTGGCCTCTCATGTGTCCTGGGTTGTGTAGATCTTGAAATGACCAGCTCTTTGTAAGGAGCAGAGGAGAATTTATAGGCCTTGGGCTTGGTGGGGAGGGGATGGTCTATTCTGGAGTGGATTAAGGTAATTATACATGAGCACCCGTGAACAGGCAGTAAGAAATGTCCTGGTGGTTGTAGCATGGCCTGCCCCCTGGGGGTCCCTGCTGCAGGCCACAGAGTCACACTGGCCCAGGGCCCACATGCAGAAGAGCATCAGAGCAGAACAACTTTAAAGGACATCAAAGGGCTGCAAGGCAGGGAAGGACAGGGTGGTCAGAGTAGTCCAGGGGAATGCTGGAGACACTGACCCATGCTGTGGCCTTTCACGTGGCACTTGTCCTGGAACTTAAATACAGTGAATATCATGAAGATCATCAGAGGCGGTGCAGGGACAGAGCTAAAGCTGCACTTTGAGGAAGAGGGGAGATACTTTGGCCATTCTGCCTCCAGACTAGACCAGGAGGAGGGATGTTCTTTTGAGTGTATAGAGGAAATTCAAATGAAGGAGGCATTTGAAGCACTTTGAAAAATATATCAAAAGAGTAATACACATTTAAAGGATATTGAAAGAGTGATATGTACATGTGGTCAAAAGAATTCAGCAGTGCAAAAAAGCATGCAGTAGAACAAAACAACCTACTCAATTGAGATTACAGCTCCTTCCCTAGAAGTGGCCACTGACAAATTTTATTTATTGTATTTCCATTCAGAACTTTCTATCTACATCAGCTCTCAGATATACTTTTTTCTTTGTATATTTTTACACATTTATTTATTTATTTTAAAGATATATTTATTTATGCATATAAGACCCGGGGTACAGGCCAGAGATGTGGAGGGTGAGAGGATTCCCAGAGACATAGTGGGGAACAGAAGAGGTGGATCTACTGAAATTCACTGCTGAGGGGGACAGTGGGTGAGACCGGAGAGGTCTGCAGCACCATGTGGGTATCTCCCTGGACCGGGATCGAATTGGTGCTGCAGTGGCTACGATAGCTCATAGGTTGCATCTTAACCCCTTGCGCCACCAGAAGTTCATTTGTATACAGTTTGATTTCTCCTCTCAGGTATTGTGCCCATAAAATTGCCACCACCAAGACACCTGTGAATGGTCACCATGGACTCTTGTGCTCTTTCCTCCTGTTTTGCTCTCTCCCCACCTCCCCTGCGAATGTCTCTGATTTACAGTTTGCCTGCTGGCTCTGTCTTTTTGTTTTTCTGATCCCTTGTCTGGTTTCCCTATGTTCCTTCAATAAGTGAAATCACCTGATACTTCTCTTATTCCTTCTGGCTTATTTCACTGAGCATAATCCCTTCCAGCTCCATCCATGTTGCTGTGAGTGGCATGAGTTTATCAGATATACATTTTAAAAAACCCACCTGGCAGTGAACAGTGCACACTGGCCTGCACTGTCTCTCCACCTTCCAGTGGAGTCCATCTCAGAGCCTCAGAGCCCATCTCCATGAGCACATGTCAGGCTTTCTGTCCTTCACAAAGGAGCAAGCATTCTGCTCTCATGTATTTAGCTGGATTCTCGCTAAATGGACATTTGGGTTATTTCTGGCCCTAAAAATTGCTGCAGAGCACATGATTTTACCAAGACCTCTGTCTTCACGTGGGGATTTTCTTGAGTGACTGTTTAGTAGATGGTGTGACGGCAGCTCCAACCAGGTGCATTCAACCGTGTTGACTTGAGGTGCAGAGATATGGAGGTGCAGTGTGCATCTGACCTGAGAGAGGGGAGCTGTGTTGTGCAAGGAGTCAGTTGCAGAAACACATTTTAAAGTCCAGGGCCTTAAATGGATTTGGTGTCTCGCTCTTCCATGGGCTGGGGAAAGTGCAAGGGGTGAGGAGAGGCTCAAATCCAAGCAGCTCTGAGGCATGAAGGGAAATTCCTTAGTCCTGCCATCTGCAGGAAGCTCAGGCAATGATGGCAGGGAGGGAGACAGCACTGCGTTTCTTTTTAAGTGAAATTTTCATAGGTGCATATTTCAGAAGACTCTGGGCTATTCTGCAGTGGTGGCGCCACCTGTGAGCCAAGAGACACACCAGGATATCGTTAGTAAGACTGGAAGGCTCCGATTTCCTCTGTGTGGCTGAGAGGAAGGGGAGGCCAGGCTAGCACAGGCCCAGCCTTAGATAGAAATAGGGCCCATGGCTGACTGAGGGACAGTGCACGCAGCAGGCAGAAGCCAGGCAGTAACGGAGGATCCCCTAATAGTACAGGCCATGGGTTAGGCTCTGTAACAGAGACATAAGACAGTTGAGCACAGAAAGTTGGGGGATTCAAAATGATCATAAAAGATGTTGCTCTCAAGATGCTACTATCTCATGATCCTATTCTCTGTCCTAGGTGAAAGAACAAGATAAGCATTTATATAACCATTTATATAAGGTAATTTAGGAGGGAAAGTTTATGTTCCAGAGTAATGGTCTAGTCTGTCAGATCCATGTTCCAAGAGTTCTGAGCATCTAGTGTCTAAGTTGCTCAGAGAAAGTTCTAGAGAGCAGACAGACCCTGATAAGTTATCATCAATGCTTGGAGAGCAGCATAAACCTTTGAGATGCCCTGCAGTGATGGGTCAGAAAGCAATAACTAAGGTAGGTTTGGGAATTTCTGATCAAGTAGGCAATAATGACTGAAGGAGACCCAGAACCAGAATTCCTGGTCCTGAAAATTCTGAGGCAGAGGATGAATGCCGTCATGTGTGTGACTGAGGAGATGCATGGATTCCTACTTGCACTGTGGGTGGAGGAGGTCTAGGGTTCTTAAGTCCCTGGGTTGGGATGGAGCCATGTAGGGTGGCCTAGACTAGTGGTGTCTCATAACCTTTGAGATACAGAGCAGGGACTGATGTCTGTGACTTTTAAATTGACCCGTATTGACCCAACACCATGGGCTGGCCCAGAGGGGAAAGCAGCTTTGGGAGGACAGTAAAAAGGGCAGAGATGGCCTCAGGCTAAGGTGAAGTCCCTAAATGGCTAAGCTTTCCAGCGTGCTCTAGAAATAAGGACCAGAGGCAGATGTTGGTTCCGTGGAACCAAAAATCCATACAAGACAAGTGTTCACTGAACAAATTCTATCCATCTTTTAAGGTCCAATCCAATTACTTTTTTCATGAAATCTTCCTGTCTACCTCAGGGCAGTGATATCTTCAGTAGAAATGAAACCTCCCACTTCCAATGTCTGAAAACCCATGAGGGCTGAACACATATTTAAGTAGTCATGTAGAACATTTTCTCTCTATCTTGGTGACTGAATCAGCTCCATTCTCCTTCTACCAAAAGATGGATAAGAGAGCAATCTTCAAGGTCCAGGACAGTCACTTAAACAAACCAGAATCTTCCTGGCACTCAGTTCAGTTCTGGACAAAGAAAAGATGTTCAATAAATATCTATTGATTGATTCATCAGTCACAGAGAAGTAGAATAATTGAAAAACTTTGAATGTTTTAAAAACATCTTTTGGAGCATGTTATAGGGAAGGGATTCTGTGGGAGACTTGAAAGCAAAGCATGAATGGAGGCAATGTTTTCGGAAAAGTGAAAGGAGAGTAGACAGTCAAATTTAGATCAGGGTGAATTGTTGCAGAGGATTCATGGTTTTTTTTAAACTCCTTGATTCTTAATACCCAAACTCCAACTACTCTGTGTGACCTTAGGCAAAATGAACTTCTCTGAATGTCAGCCTCTTTGGCTATAAAATGTGGCTGACACCATATTTCTAGATTGTAATTGTAAGAGTGTAAACCCCAGAGAAAGGGGAGGTTCCAGGTCCTTGCCCCACCCTAAGTGTAACAGGGTAATCCCCAGAGGATGGGGAGATTCCCTGCCCCACTCTAAGGAAGGGTGGAGCTGGGCTGGGAGGAGAGTCAAGAAAAGACTGGGAGAAAAAAAGAGGAAGGAGCTGAAGAAAAGCCTGGAGGAGGCGTATGGAGCAGAGAGATGTGTGAAGAACAGCCACACTTGCTTCTCAGGCTTGGACTTGGGGGATGTGATAAGAGTTGAAAGAGAGAGAATTGTATGGGGACTATAACCAAGATGAAAATGCATATATTGTCCAAAAATGAAAAATGATGTAAAAATATATATAAAATAAAATAAAAAAAGAAATATATGTGGCAATAAAAATATTCCTATTGGGGACACAGAAACATCAATTCCAAAGAAGCACCTGCACCCCTATGTTTATAGCATCACTGTTTATAATAGCTAAGCTTTGGAAACAACCCAAATGCCCAAAAATAGATGACTGGATCAAGAAGATGTGGTACATATACACCATGGAATATTACTCAGCATTCAAAAAAGATAAACACATGCCATTTGCAGCAACATGGATGGAGCTGGAAGGGATCATGCTCAGCAAAATAAGCCAGAAAGAAAAAGAAAAATACTGGATGGTCTCACTCATAGCAGGAATCTAGAAAAATTAAATAAGGGACCACAAGAATGAATAACTGTAAGAAAGTGAAAATCAAAATCAACAAACAACTATGAACCAGAGACACTCTATGGGAGGAGTGGGGGGCAGGGAAGGGAAGGATTGGGGTCAAAATAAGGGGGTTGCAATTGTATGGGGAATATAAAAATAAAATTTATTTAAAAAATTAAAAAAATAAAGAAAATATCAAAATAAAAAAAAATATTCCTATTGGGAAAATAAAAAAGAGAGTTGAAAGAGATTTGGGTGAGAGACCCGTGTGAAGGCTGAAAATGGTTCCTATATCTCAATTTTGATTTTGTTCTTTTCCTTCCAGACTTGCCTGGTCCCTCTGCCCTGTTCTTCTGAGTCCCCATCAGAGGGTGCCTGAAACTTGTGACAAACTTTGGGGCTTCAGTGGCTCTGCTTTGGGCCAACCATGTTAGGTTGGGTATTTACCCATGAAGGGATGGATAACATTGGGCGCTTGATTTGGAAACTATATTCTTTCTTTCTCTCTTCTCTCTATCACACTCTAATTGTATTAAAGTTCTTTTCCATTGAAAATCTTACACACTGGTGAGGGCGGAGCAACATGGCGGCGAGGAGACGCTGCGAGTAAGATCTCCCGTTAAAAAAATGTTAATAGGGAGGGAAAGCGGCAGGTCCCAGTGAGAACTGGGACACGGAAGATAAACGGGTGACTCCAGCAAACTACCCGAAGAAGAAAGTGGCCATAAAAGAGGACCAGAAGGGAGGAAAGCGCAGAACCCTGCTCCCCTCCCCCACCCACAGAGTCGGCACTCTCCGACCAGCAGAGAGGAGGGAAACAACAAACCAAAACTGCCAACAAGAACAAACGACACAGCAAGCGGGACTGTGAGTGGAAAGGAACTATTGCAGCCACCACACCCCGTGAACGGGAGCTGTGGAGAACCCTGCAGGATTCGCTGCTGCAGTGAGCGAAGGGCTCTGGGCGCCATTAGAGAACAAAGAGACTCTGGAGACCTGCACACAGCCCGGGCTGGCCGGTAAGCTTGCACTGAAAAGCTGCACGCTTGAAAAGCAAACGCGGATCGGGATCGCGGTTGCCCAGGTCCCCGCGCCTGCGACCTAGGCTTGCGGGGATACACACGGGGGCCTTCACTGAGGTGAAAGTCCCTCACTGAGTAATCAGGAACCAGGCGCCCAGGCACGGGAGCGGGGTGCAAAAGGCGCCATCGCTGCAGCCACTGAACGCTACAGCCCGCGTCCTGGACCTGCGGGCTTTGGAACTGAGACCCGGGGCACGAAATTCGGAGCGTGGGTCCTCCACGTCGGTGGGGCACAAGGCAGACACAGCACCCCAAAGCCGTTGAGGTTTTCCCTACCATTCTCGCTCTGTTCCCTGTCCCACGGGGTGAAGAAAAACAGCCCCCCCACGGACTAGGAGAGATCTCTGGCGCCACCTAGCGACCAGAAAAAAAGTCACTAACACCCCATAGAACAGGGACCTTTCTTGAAACCTGCAGAAGGCTCCTGGAGGAACCCGTGGCCAGCTGGGAAGTTAGCCCACCCCAGGCCCCTTCAGACCAGCAGTCTGAGCCCACAGGGGGAGCGGGCACCCACAGCTGGGGCAGACCAGGTGCGCAGAAGAGTGTGCCTGAGACTGGACGCGCAGGGAGTGCGTCCTGCATCGCCATTTTAGAACAGGGATATTTCTTCAGGAAAGACTGCATGCAGAAGGCTCCCTCAGAAGCCAGAGGTGAGCGGGGAAGCTCGCCCACGCCAGGCCCCTTCTGGCCTGCAGTCCAAACCCAGAGGGGGAGTGGGAACCCACCGCTGGGGCAGACCAAGCACACAGGGGTGTGTGTCCCCACATCAGCATTTTAGAACAGGGACCTTCAGTAAAGACTGCTTGAAACTGACAGATGGCTCCCGGAGGAGCCAGAGGGGAGCAGAGAAGCTCACCCAAGATGCCGGCCAGTCCCAGCAACACAGTGTCCCAATGCATACGACAAATTAGAAAACAGACAGTAGGGAGTACAAGAACCACACGCAACCTAACAACTCCTCAGGAAAAAAACACACCACAAAAAGAAAACCACCCCCCAGATTGCAACGACAGTAACTTGGAAGAACTTCTGAGCCTTCCAGAAAGAGAATTTAAAATTGCCATGATTAAAAAAATGACAGAACTCATAAAGGAAAACAATGATCAGAAGAAGGAAATTGAGTCCCTAAAGAGAGAAAACAATGGTCAGAGAATAAAATTGAGTCCCTAAAGAGGGAAGTAAAAGAAACGCAGGAGATCAAAGAATTAATGGAGGAACTAAAGAACTCTGGGAAAAGCAATGAAAGCAGAATAGATGAAATGGAAGAACGAATAAGTACTCTTGAAGACACAGAAATAAAAAGAACCAAAACAGAAAAGGAAAGAGAAGTACAAAGGAAAAAGAATGAAGAAAGATTTCTGAACTATCTGACTCCATGAGGAGAGGAAATATAAGAGTTACAGGAATTCCAGAAGGAGAGGAGAGAGATGTAGGAACAGAGAAAATATTCCAGGAGATAATTGAAGAGAACTTCCCAAATGTGAAGAAGGAGCTGAAAATTGATATACAAGAA